TGCGTGCGTGCGTGCGTGTGTGTGCGCGCGTGTGTGTGTGTGTGTGTGTGTCTGTGGGTTGGATGCGAAAAAAGTTTTGTTTCGGGTTAAGGCTTCACATTCGGCTACAACTGTGATGCTGTTAAACCATGTTGAACCTATTTTTCAAGACTGAGGAACCTCCAAGTATAGCTATAGTGCCAGTGACAGACTTCCTTCTCGGAAAGGCTCAATCTCCCACAGTTAGGGACCACGAAATAACACGCGCCGCCTCATGCTATCACAATGGATTCAAGGGATCGCAACGATAGGCATGGGTAATCTTCTGCTTGAAGAAACACTTGCGCAACGCTGTCCCCACGCTGTGCTGAATACGTATATTTCCGACACGAGTCTGAGCCAAAGGCTTCACCGACATGGTGCTGAGAAACTTCTACATGCAAGGGTAAGGACGTTGATTAAGTATGAGCGAAGTGCAGTGGTTCGTCGCGGGTCGTTGCGATGCGTAACACCTTACTTACATGTTGGTACCTGATAAACGGAAGGCAATGGCAACGAGCACTGACTTCAAAACCTGAAGCCCGGCCTCCGGGAGGTAGAATACACGACCTAAGCCCTGTGCCCTAAACATCCCTAAGCCCTACTTTCTGGACATGTCATCGGTTTCTTCATGGGAGCCTTGAGTTTTTCGCGCGGAAACTGTTGTCTTTGTTCTGTCCGGCCACATGCGAGATATCTTTCGATAGTCCGCGTTTGGGTTGTGCAGTCTCGACCAAAGGGTTGCTTGTAGCCTCCAATGTATAAGACTTCCTTTGACTACGGCTCGTATGCAAGCATGATGCAGATCATGCGGGACTTGAGTCGCCGCACATCTCGTGGAGTACTTTAGCTTTTGGAGGCTCCGCGTCATGCATGATTAGGAAGACATGTATGTGTACATACAGACACACGTATGTATCAACCAACCAACCCATCAATCAATCAATCAATCAATCAATCAATCAATCAATCAATCAATCAATCAATGAATCCATCAACCAACCCACCAACCGACCGACCAACCAACCAACCGACCTAGCAACCAACCAACCACGCAGTCAATATCAATCAGTGGTCTCGGTCTAGGAAGGTGGATAGTCGTCCAAATTAGGGTCCCTTTTGTAAGGTCCCCAAACTAGTACGGCACCCTTATAAAAAAAAAAAGGACCTTGAATGGGACCCTACTTTCGAGAACTACCCCTGGGGAGACACCGTCTTGATGTCAGATTCATCCCTGAACAGCGGCTTTTCAAGGGTCTCATCAACCAAACACCCGATTCTTACTGTTGATGAGAAAAAATCCTGCATTACTTTAAGGACCCTATGCTATGGGAATTATGGTACATTCCTTATTATATTATTATGGGTAATGCAGGATGTATACCATCAACCGAATCAGCTGACTTGCCCTTAACCCGACCCCTGGACCCTACACATAACAGAAAGGCAGCCTAAACGCTAGACCCTGAACATCAAACCCTTAACCCTGAGCCCTCAACTTTATGACAACCCACTGAGCTTCGAGTATCCAGCCCTTCTCGGCATCGTCTCTCACCCCACCGCCCAGCAAGCTAAACCCTACTGAACCCTCAAGCCTGGACCCTGAACCCTACCCTAAACCCTAAACCCTAAACCCTAAACCCTAAACCCTACTAAACCCTCAAGCCTAAACCCTACGCCCTAAACCCCAAAACCCTCAAGGAGGATATCTGCAGCTGAACATTAAGTTTGAAGGCACGTGGTTGGGGTCCGGCAGCAAAAAAAAAGCCTACGATGCCCTGGCACTTGCGAAATCCTGACTTGAGAACTAACTCCTCACGATTGCTACGCTTGCTCGACAAGGGATTTCCAGCCTAACCCAAGGCTCCACATGTACCTATATAGCATATACTTAGGCCTTAAAGTACCCAGATAGGGGGTACGTTAAGGCCTCAGTACCTTAGTATATTATAGGCACATGGAGCCTTAGGTGTCGTTCCTAAGCTGAACATGTCCGGCAGTCCAGCCTCTGTCCTCAGGTGACTCCAGGCGCGGCGGTGACCTCTGCGGTTTGCACGTTGGGCTCAGTTTAGGGTTCTAGGGTTTTAACCCTTGGATTTAAAGGTATTGGTCTTCTAGGGTCATAAACCTTAAACCTTAAACTAAACCATAAAGTCTGCTGTTTTGTTGATGGTCGTCTGATGATTGCTTTTCGTGCTTCTAGTCTTACCATCGGGCGGTATCCTTCTTATGGTTGAGATTTCATGATCAGTAAGACAACTTCTTCTTCCTGTTCTTCACACTGCTACCTTTCTTCAAAGGGAGGTTCAAGGTTAGGGGTTAGGCCTAGGTTTTTTTTAGGGTTTAGGGGTCTAGGGTTCGACAGCATGGCCCTGCGCTTGGTTTAGGGATTTCCGGCTAGTGGCGTAAGGGTTGAGGGTTTAGTAGGGCGTTAGTGCCTCAGGATTAAACCTCGTTTCCTGAAGAGGGAGAGGGGTTGAACTCCTTTTGGGTCAATGGTTTGTCGCTTGAGGGTTAAGTCTTGGGTTTACGGTTTGGGGGTCTGTCGTCTGCGGTGTAAGATATGCATGAAAGATTTCTTGGCTTTGCAAGCAGGGTTTGGACAGAGCTGAAGTGTTTACAACCGCTTGGGGGGCGGGGGCTTTTGATTTAGGAGCAAGCGGAGCAAGGTGGTTCATGGGAATCTGGAATTACTATATTGGGTAGTTCTCTAAAGTAGGGTCGTTTTTCAGGTCCCCAAGAAAGAAAACGGCACCTTCATAAACAAGGACACTAAGAGGGACCCTAATTTGGAGAACGACCCTTTTGGGTTTTACGGGATACCGCGCAGACTTACGATGTCAACTGAGTCTCCAGTCTTGCGAACATTCACTCTCACGGTTTGCAGACAAAAGCATGCTCTGTGACGTCTACATTGCTGATCGACTAAGTCCTGAACGCCCCTTTTCCGTTTCCCAAAATGAGGCGGCACTCTCATGAAACGGACCCGAAAAGGGACCCCAATTTAGAGAACTATCCATATGCAGAAGGTTTTAATTAGATGATGAAAGAACACTAACCAGAGTTGACACCACGCTGCCCCTAACCACAGATTGGGATGTGTGTTTGTTCTGGGCCGGGCAGAGAGTCAGATCGGGTGGGAAGCGTCGTGAGCTATCATGACAATTCGGTTACGACGGTGGCAAGCTTTACCACCCAGATTTCCGACATGACGTAGTTCAGGACGGAAGACTACTGTTCGTAGTGAGTTGGGCCAGTCTGGACCCCAAGCCCTAAACTGAACCTCAAGAGCTTGTCCAGCCCCTTACCTCGCATACGAGGTTGTTTTGCACGAGCTGAGTTTAAGGTAATCACCGGTGAGATAGTAGGGGTATACTATATGCAATGTTCTTTCATGGTAACTTGACCAACTACAAGGAGATGCTTTAACAAGACACCTTAAACCATAAATCCTGCCCAAATCAATGGGCATCGGACTCAGCTGTCTCCGCAAGAGGCACAGCCTGCATGCGCTTGACATCTAGGCGGTCATCAAGACTGTCAGCTTTTTCAATCTCCCCATATAGTTCTAGAGGATCTCGGAAGATGTAGCATGATGCCTTACTATCTTTGCCGGATCTACATGCTCTGAAACAACAGCAGGTAACATCAGGGTTCCCTGACAATGCCACCTGGCGTAGGCGTTTTGGTTACTTGTATCCCCATAGGGTTACTTTAAACCCCAAATAGCCTCAATCCTCAACCCTAAACCCCAAGACCCTAGACCCTAAACCCTAAACCCTAAACCCCAAGCTCTAAACCTGGAACCCTACACTCGCCTACAAAAGGTATCCTCGCCAGAATTAGATCTCTGGGTTTGGGATTTAGGGATAGGGTCTGGATTCAGGGTTTCGGCTTAGGTTTTCAAGCCCTAAACCCTAAACCCTTAATCTTTGACCCTAAACCCTAAACCCTAAACCCTAAACCCTTAATCTTTGACCCTAAACCCTGAACCCCAACTAACATTCCCCAGGGGCAAAGGTCTCCAACAGTTCGGGGGTTTAAGGGTTCTTCGGGCTTTAGGGTTCTTGCTATAGCTCGGGCTTTAGGGCAGAAGTGTTTAGTGTTCAGGAGTCCAAGGCTTAGGGCTCAGGGCTCAGGAGTTTGGGGTCTTGATTTTGCCCTTTAACCTCTTAGACCTCAGCGTCTAAGCGATTTCAAGGTCCCTCAAACACTCTTCCCGAGCCTTCTCACGACGAGCTGATGCGAGATCGCTCGCGGTCCTCTTTGCAGTCATGTATGCCGGGTTTCGGGCTTCGAACTTTCAAACTTTAGCCTAAACCCCTAAAGCCCTAAACCCTAAACCCCTAAACCCCTAAACCCCTAAACCCCTAAACCCCTAAACCCTAAACCCTAAACCGGGATGTGGTGCTTGAGGAGGGGGTGGGAGGCGCCCAACCTTATCACCCCACCCCCCATTTAGGTTAAGAATAAGGTGTTGGTGGGGGCGCTGTACTCCGCCTGGGGGGGGGCGTTGGGGATGGGAGGTGGAGGAGAGGGCTGGGAGGGGGAGGGCAGGACAAGGCAGAGCAGGGCAGGGTAGGGCGGGGCAGAGCAGGGGCAAGGCAGGGCAGGGCAGGGTTTAGGGTTTAGGGCTTCAAAGTTGAGATTTTAGGGTTAAGGGGTTTAGAGTTCAGTGTTTAGGGTTTAGGGGTTTGGAGTTTAGAGTTAAGGGTTTAAGGGTTTAGAGTCTCGGGTTAAGGGGTTTAGAGCTTACAACAAAAAATCGCAGACTTTAAAATCTCAAAAGAGCTCGAAGAAAACCCTAGCTTCAAGAATTCAGCACGGGTGGAGAGATTACTTGGAGGGTCGTGGGACTTAGCAAATGGTTATTTTGTAGACTTATAAGTGCTATAATCACAATGAGGGTTCCTTTTAGGGTACTTACATCAAGCTACATATTACCTACTTACTAAGTCTCCTCCAAGTAAAGTTGAGGCTTCATGGTGGAAGCTTTCTTGGGGGTTTGGGGTTTAGGGTTTGGCGCTTGGGGTTTGTGGTTTAGGGTTTGGAGTTTAGGGTTTGGCGTTTAGGGTTTGGGGTTTAGGGTTGAGGGTTTGGGTTTAGGGTTGTAGGTTTTCCCCAAAGCCCCAGCGTCCATGGCATTGCCAGGCCCAAACCCTAGACCCTGAACCCCAAGCCCCAACCCCTAAACCCTAAGCCCTAAACCCTAAACCCTAAGCCCTATACCCTAAACCCTAAACCCTAAGCCCTAAACCCTAAACCTCAGCCCTATACCCTAAACCCTAAACCCTAAGCCCTAAACCCTAAA